TTGTATTTCTGAGTGGTTGGTTTTAATAAGTCCATTTTCTTTTTTTTTTTTTTAAATGTTTTATTTATTTCTGAGAGAGAGAGAGAGGCAGCATGAGCAGGGGAGGGTAGAGAGAGAAGGAGACACAGAATCAGAAGCAGCTCCAGGCTCTGAGCTAGTTGTCAGCACAGAGCCTGATGTGGAGCTCGAACCCACGAACCATGTGATCATGACCTGAGCCGAAGTCGGATGCTTAGCCGACTGAGCCACCCAGGCGCCCCTCAATAAGTCCATTTTCATTCATGCTTTTGTCTATTTGGGTGCTCTCTCTTTTCTTTGAGAAGCCTGGCTAGAGGTTTGTCAATTTTGTTTATGTTTTCAAAAATCAACTCTTGGTTTCATTGATTTGTTCAATTGTTTCTTTGGTCTCTGTGTTGTGTATATCTGATCTAATTTTTACTATTTCTCTTCTTCTACTGGGTTTAGAGTGTTCTTGTTGCTCTGCCTCTAGTTCCTTTAGGTGAGCTGTTAGATTTTGGACTTGTGCTTTTTCTAATCTCTTGAAATAGGCCTGGAGAGCAATGTACTTTCCTCTTAGGAGTGCCTTTGCCGCATCCCACAGATTTTGAATTGTTGTGTTTTCATTTTCATTTGTTTCCATATATTTTTTAATTTCATCTCTAATTGCCTTATTGACCCTTTCATTCTTTAGTAGGGTGTTCTTTAACCTCCATGTTTTTGGAGGTTTTCCAGACTTCTTCCTGTGATTGATTTCAAGTTTCAAAGTATTATGATCTGACAGTGTGCATGGTATGATCTCAATTCTTTTATATTTATTGAAGGCTGCTTTATGTCCCAGTATGTGATCTATCTTGGAGAATGTGCCATGCACACTTCAGAAGAAAGTGAATTCCCTGGTCTCAGGATGTAGAGTTCTAAATATATCTGTCAGATCCATCTTGTCCAATGTGTCATTCAAGTCCATTATTTCTTTAGTGATTTTCTGTCTGGTTGACCTATCCATTGCTGTAAGCGGAGTATTAAAGTCCCCTGCTATTAGCACATTCTTATCTATAAGCTTGTTTCTGTTTGTGATTAATTGTTTTAGATATTTATGTGCTCCCATCTTCGGTGCGTAGACATTTATGATAGTTAGTTCTTCCTGATGGATGGACCCTGTAATTTTTATGTAGTGCCCTTCTTTATCTCTTGTTACTGTCTTTAATTAAAGTCCAGTTTGTCTGATATAAGTATAGCAACTCTGGCTTTCTTTTGATTTCCCATAGCATGATATATATTTCTCCATCCCCTTACTTTTAATCTGAAGGTATCTTCTGTGTAAAATGAGTTTCTTGTAGACAGCATATAGATAGATTTTGGTTTTTTATCCATTCTGCAACCCTATGTCTTTTGATTGGAGCATTCAGCCCATTAACATTCAGTGTTATTATTGAAATATGTGGGTTTAGAGTCATAGTTTCCTTTGTGGAGTTCATGTTTGTGGTGGTTTCTCTGATGTCTTCGTTCCTTGCAATACTTCTCTCAGAGCGTCCCCCTCTGGATTTCTTGTAGGACTGGCTTAGTGGTGACAAATTCTTTCAATTTCTGTTTATTTGGAAAGATTTTTATCTCTCCTTCTGTTTTGAATGACAGGCTTGCTGGATAGAGGATTCTTGGCTTCATATTTTTACTGTTCATCTCATTGAAGATCTCCTGCCATTCCTTTCTGGCCTGCCAAGTTTCAGTAGATAGGTCTGTCACCACTCTGATAGGTTTCCCTTTGTATGTTAGGGCCCTTTTCTCCCTAGCTGCTTTCAAAATTCTCTCTTTGTACTTGTATTTTGCCATGTTTACTATGATATGCCATGCAGAAGATCGACTCAAGTTACATCTGAGGGGAGTCCTCTGTGCCTCTTGTATTTCAACGTTTACTTTTATCCCCAGGTTGGGGAAGTCTCTGCTATAATTTGTTCCAGGACTCCTTCAGCACCTTTCCCTCTCTCTTCCTCTTCTGGGATTCCTATGATACAGATATTGTTGCGTTTGACCGTATTGCTGAGCTCTCGAATTCTTCTTTCCTGTTCCTGGATCAGTTTGTCTCTTTTTTTTGTCTGCTTCTTGTTTTTCTATAATGGTGTCTTCTAAATCACTTATTCTCCTTTCTGCCTCTTCAATCTGTGCATTGGAAGCCTGAATTTATTATGTATCTCATTTATTGCATTTTTAAATTCTTCACGCCTATTTTTATTTTCCATTTTGTCTAGTTTCTTTGATGTCCCCTATGTTTTTTTCAAGCCCAGCTATTAATTTTATGATTATTATTCTAATCTTGTTCAGTTATGCTGCTTATATCTGTTTTGAGCAGTTCATTAGCTGTCATTTCTTCTTGGAGTTTCTTTGGAGGAGAGGTCTTTCGTTTCGTCATTTTAGTTAGCTTTCTGGCTCTTGTTAGTTTTAAAGACTTGTTATGCTCTCTGCAGCTATGCGCGCTGTTGTATCCAAGAAAACTCTCTGACTATCCAAGGCCTATCCTTTCAGAGAGTGTTTTTTGAATGGTATCTCTTGGTCTCTCTTGTTGGTACCTTGGTTATTTTCTTTTCCTAATTGTAGTGGTTTTTGGGACTCTCTACCTTTTGTACTCTAGCTTGTTTCTTGAGGTAGCCGTGGAGATGAAAACAGACAAACACACAGGGAGCAGGAGCACACAAATGCACAGACAAATTCAACTAACATGCAAACCGAGAGGGAAAACGAAAAAGTTAAGAGAAAAGATGGAGGAGGGAAGGCGAATAATAGGAAATTAAAAAATCCATAAAAAGGTCAAAAAAAGAAAAGAAAAGGGAAAAAGAAGAAAACCGATGGACAAAGAACGGTTTAAAGCGTATAACTGGATTTCCCAGTTGCAGATAAATAGCCAGGTGTATGTAGTGCTGGTTGAAGAGCATAGAGATAGAGAGTGACAAAGGGCAGGGATGAGGCAAAATTGGAAGTAGAATGAACAGGCAGAAGGGATAAGGAGCTTTTCTCAAAGAGCTAAAGGGTGGGATATGGTTGGATAGGTGAGAGAAGGATGCTGGTGTTATCCAGAGAAACTATATAGTCTAATTACTCCTGAGAGAAAGAGATGAGAATGTCGGTAGGTGTAGAATTTATATCTACAGAATGGACTAGTTATGACTGTTTAAGCAAGCTGGTGACCAAAGTTAGTCAGGTCAGTGTTTAGGGGAAAAAGGGTAAAAAAAAAGAAAAAAAAAATAGAGGAGGAGTGCAGCTATCTAGCAGGGATGGTTGTGGTGTGATCCAGTGTGACAGGCGGGAGTTCTTCCTTAGGGTTGTGGTGAGGAGTGGTGGTGCACCAGACGCTTCTTGTACCAAGTGCTGCACCTTGCTTTTTTGGGTATCTAAACTCCAGTGCTGGGTGGGTCGTGCTCTTTAACGGGAGCCTGACTGAAATTGTGGTAGACACAGCCTTGCAATCCCCTCAGGGCAATTCCAAGCTTCTTGCCTAGCCCTGGGGGTGGAGCCAGAAGCTGCTGCTCCCGTTCTTCCAGGTCAGGCTGGTTAGCATGGGCGGGGGCTTGTCTGCAGGGCTCGCCCGGCCCTCTGGAGAGAGGGAAACCAGGTCCTTCTGTGTCTCACCACCCGAAACACGAACTCACAGGCAGATCTCCCAGTTTTAAGCCCTTTGCCTACGCTCTAAAGTTCCAGCCAGCTTGGGGCGCGGAGGTCCGCGCACGGCTCCTCCAGGAATCCAGCCGATCCGGGAGTACAAATGAACAAAGGAGTGGTGCCCACGCGGCGCAGCTGCTCCGGGACAAGTTGGCATGCGGGGATTTGGCATACCCAGTCCTGTGCCCCGAGCGGAGGTTTTTCTGGTTCCCAGCGGCAGACACCGTATCTTGCGTAGTTTCGGATCTCTCTTTTTCCCCTTCACTCCCCACAGAGGGGGGGGTCACCTGGCCCCTCCAGTCTCCGATCCCTGCCCGATTTTATCTTCCCCAAATCGCACTCATGTTAGAAGGCTTTCTCAGTGGATTCTGCATCCTTTTTCTCCCAATCTCTTGGGTTCTGTAATGTTACCTATGGCTTCAGATCTTTTCCGTGTGAGATATGGGGGCGAGTGCAATGCACAGAGCTCCCTACTTTGCCATCTTGCCCTCCCCGTGACCTCTTAAATAGTATTTCTTGAACTAAGTAAAATACCTTTGGGAGTCATGGTAGGATTCCAGAGGAATCAGGACATGAAATTACCTTGGGAAAGTAGAAGACTGGAACTTGCTGCTGGGGTTGGCTTCACTCACAGGAATGTGCGAACTCAGGATGACAGACTTTAGTCCTGAACGCTCATGGGAGAGGTGGACTGCCCTCCTGTGTCCTGTGGCAGCACTGAGAGCTGGAGTCAGTTGGTGATCTTGGCAATGGCAGATATGGTTTTCAAAAGGCTGCTTTCCCCTCCCACCTGCTGACCAGAGTCTCTCCTGGTTCTTAGGATGTGAGTCTGCATCTGCTCTTTCCTGGTGTGCTTCTACATATTCCTGGGAAAGAATCTGCATACTGAAGGAGATGGGGAGAATCTCTTTAAAACAAATTTTGGAGACTTACCAATGTCCTATTCTCAGATACTGAGATTTTTTGGGAAGAATCTATAAGATGCAAGTTGGAATCAACCTAAAACATTCTCTTTTCTTTGTAGGAAGGTATTCTGGTTTTTCAGGATTTCAGAGGAAACACAGTACATGATGTTGTCTTCCCTCAGCAGCTCCCTGGGCTTTCTTGGTGGCAGCACAGACATACACATACATTTGGAGATCCTGCCATTCTTCTTCCTCCCCATCCAAACAGGACAGTTGGCGTCTCCAGAGGACCACAGTAAGGAATGCTAGACCCATGTACACAGAGAAGAAACAAACAGACAGAAAACCTAGTATTTGTGCTGTGTGGATATTTGTAAAGCTCCTGTTTACTTTATGACCACTACATGTTAAAAGTAATTTCGATAAAACATGGGTTTTTCTTTTCAGGTGCGGTGTCTAAAAGACTATGGAGAATTTGAAGTTGATGATGGTACTTCAGTCTTATTAAAAAAGAATAGCCAGGTATTTCTCATCTTGAGATACTTTAAATCTTATAAGAATATCGAATGATGGAAATGTTAGAATCACTAGCAAAATAAATGTTACCTTGTGATGATAATTTGTATCGTAAGCATTATGCTTAGTATAAGTCACACTGTTTTGTCCATTTTCTGAATATAAAGACTTGAAGCAAATGTTGCATATACTAAAAAAAGGTTAATTAGATTTTTGCTTGTATTTAACACTAAGCATATTCCTGGGAAATTATCACAATGGAACTTATTTGGGCAAGTGGGCTTATTCTAGTTAAGGGCCTGTATAAATTGTTGTGATTTAGCTTCTTTCTTTGAATTTATTAAAAAGGTGCTAAGCACTCACTTTCAGCTTGTACATCACCCTTTAAATCCTAGTTTTTTAACATGCAAAGGGTATATGGATCAGAAATTTCTAAGTATTTAACATAATCCTAACAGTTTAACAGGGAATGACTGAAATTGTGAAGTTATAATTTAAGCTAAATTTTTTCTTACAAAGAATCTCAATATATTGTTTTCTTAGAAATCATCAAGTTCACAGGGCGCCTGGTGGCTCAGTCAGTTAAGCATCTGACTTTAACTCAGGTCATGATCTCACGGTTCGTGAGTTCAAGCCCTGCATTGGGTTCTGTGCTGACAGCTTAGAGCCTGGAGCCTGTTTTGGATTCTGTGTCTCCCTCTCTCTCTGCCCCTTCCCCACTCATTCTCTGTCTCTCTCTGTCTCAAAAATAAATAAACTATAAAAAAATTTTTTTAAAAAGAAATCAAGTTCACATTAGATGTATTTTCACTTTAGATGAATTTATAGTAGCTAGATTTATTTTTATCCCATCTTAATTGTAGTCACATTAGTGTAGGACAAAAAATGACCTAATAAAAACCACTCTTTCTTTCCTTCCCATTTTGTTTTCAGCCAGTTAGTATCCAGAGCCCTTAAGTCATTGATGTCTTTGTTATGCCCTGGACAAAGTAATGCTGAGTTAATGTGGTTCCCTTAGGGTGAGTTGCTTTATTTTACTAGTACCCTTGGATCTTGAAATAGTTTCCTAAAATAAAGGTTGAACATTTTAAAGACAGATTTTCAGGGGACCCTAAAATCTTTGGTTATTAGAGCAAAAATTTCCTTCCCAAGCATCCTCTTCAAAGTAGGATAGTAATGAATAGAAAGCAGATGCTCAAGAATTGCTCTCCTAAAAACCTGCCCGTCTGGAGGACCCAGCAGGAAGCTCTGATTCACAAGAACAAAGCTATCTTCATAAAGCAAGATAGGAGAAAACTTTATCTCCAACCCTGTCCTGTGTTTGAATTTCTTTCTCAAGCTCTTTGGCTGATCTCCCCACCTCATGTGCTGAGACAGTGATTCCTCACTGGAGTGCCCAAGGGGTGCCAGGGTAGGTGGAAACCAGCTGAGTCCTTCCTCCTGTTCCTGCTAAACAATTGTCACTCTGTGTGGACCATGCAGAAGCCTTTCCCTTGAGATGCTTTTTGACTTGTTTCTCAGCACTGCCCTACCCTTAGTTTAAAAAATGGAGAACAATTATGGTTGATTTTTTTTTTTACCCACTATGTGTTTATATACTATAGTTGATATTAAAGGGATTTTTAAAATGTCCGACCACATTTAAAAGCAGTTTTCTACAGTTTTCTGTAGAATCTGGTATAGATTATCTATTAATAGGAAAATATATTTTTGCCATAATATCTATTTTTTTGAGAGAGAGTGCACACAGGGAGAGGGGGAGAGGGAGAATGAGAGAGAATATTAAATAAACAGCCTCCACAATCAGCATAGAGCCCAACTGTAGGCTAGATCCCACCACCCTGGGATCATGACCTGAGCTGGAATCAAGTCAGACATTCAACTGACTGAGCCACCCAGGCGCCCCAGCATACATTTCTTTATCCTTGTGCATATGGCAAGCATTTTCTATTTGTCCAGAAATCAGAACCTCCTCCCCCTTTTTAAGTAGGGATTAGAATAACTTAAATGAACAACTCAATTTTTCCTCCTTTTTTTACATTTTACATTCTTAAGGCATTTCAAAACCTCATTTAACAGGTTAGACAACAGTGTGTCTTCAGCCCATGAGTCTTCCTGGCTAGTCAGGAGGGATTTATTTACTCACAGGCCTCATGGTGGACCTGTGAGCTGGTGAGGTGCACAGGGCCACTGAACTGCATTGTGCACCTGGAATAATTTTGACAGTTCCTCCTGCTGCAGTTACATTTTTATTTCTTTACTTTGAGAGAGAGACAGAGAGAGCACATGACATGCTTGTAGCAGGGGAGGGGCAGAGAGAGACGATCTCAAGCAGGCTCATGCTGTCAGGTCAGAGTGGGGCTTGATCCCACAAACCGTGAGATCATGACCTGAGCCAAAATCCAGAGCTGGACACCCATGCACCCCTGCAGTTACTTTCTAAGAGTATTTGCTCTGTACTTTTTAATGCAGCATTTGTAGTTTTTACCCAAGTATGTCTGTCTTTTCAATGAAGTTTCTTTGGTCACCTGCGAGCTTGGAAAGTTTTCCTGGCTTGTTTCTTGAACCTCCTCAGCCCGGACCTTAATAAACATTCCGTTTTAAGTCCCTGTGCTTTGAGGGAATCAGACAGGGAGGCTCCTTTCTGCCTCACAAAGAGAGTGGTTTTCTTTCAGGAGGACACGGAGGGCAAGTGTTAGCTGGGTACCAGTGTCTTCACACAGTGTGTGAACAGCACCCATGTTGTAGGTTATGATACTTTTAATCCTGTAGAATACAGGAGGAAACCTGCCACTGCTATTACTAGAAGAATAATGTTCAAACTCAGTACTAGAGAAAGCTTAATGGGGAAGATGCTCCTTTTCCTGGTCTTACTAGCAAGCTGCTGTCACACTTGTAATCCACTGCTGCAGAATCTCACCCCTGGATTTTCTTTGCTTGAATCTCAAAATGATACTAAGCAAAATTCATACTGGAATGCAGAATTCTTTTTTTTTTTAATTTGTTTATTTTTTACAAATAGTTTATTGTCTAGTTTCCACATAACACCCAGTGCTCATCCCCACTAGTGCCCTCCTCCATGCCCATCCCCCCTCCCCCCCACATCCATTAGTCCTCAGTTTTTGTCAGGATTCAAGAGTCATGGTTTGCCTCTCTCCCTTTCCCCCACCATTTCCCCCCTTCTTCTCCCCCTTGTTCCTCAGTTAAGTTCCTCCTAATCCTCCTATACATGCAAACATATGATATTTGTCCTCTGCCTGACTTATTTCGCTCAGCATAACACCCTCAAGGTCCATCCTTGTTTCTAGAAATGGCCAGATTTCATTGTTTCTCATTGCCATGTAGTATTCCATGGTATAGATAAACCACATCTTCTTGATCCATTCATCCGTTGATGGACACTTAGGCTCTTTCCATGTTTTAGCTATTGTGGAGAGTGCTGCTATGAACATTGGGGTACGTGTGCTCCTATTGGAATGCAGAATTCTTGAGTTAAATTTAACTCAAGCAAACTATGAATTTGTTTATAAAAATCAGAATTCAGTGTGGTTCTAATTGGCATCAATTTCAGTTGATAAAGGTAGCAAATATGTGTGTTTAGCTTTTAACTACTTAGCTGTTTGAAAAATATGCAATCAAATTGCTGCTTTTTAATGATACAAAATGTAATTTTAAATTCTTTTCCAATCGTTTCTCTTTCTCTTCCCCTACTGTTTCCCCTCAGCACTTCTTACCTAGGTGGAAGTGTGAGCAGCTGGTCAGACAGGGCATCCTGGAGCACGTGCTGTCCTGACGTTGGGCTGAGGCACTGCCAGGCTTTTCCCCGTGGTGTGAGGCAGAGCCAAGCCACGGAAAGTTCTTCACATCCTTCATCACCCTCACCTCTTGGTTTCAAAAATTATAGACGTTCTTGAAGATAAACAGGAATATCTGGCTAAGGACTATGGTTTTTCTTTTGTACAGGATTCCTCCTCCTCTTTGTAATAAACTGTATCTATAATCCTAACATTCATCTAGTTACTACAATGTGTTTTTTAATTTTTTTAATGAAAGTAAACGTTTGTTATATTTGAATTTATTTTTTTACACCAGTAGTAATGATTATTTTCAGTGAACATCTCTGATGTTGCCCATGGTATAGTACACTACGTCATAAACTACAAATCCAAGGAAGGTAGTAGTGCGTTTCCTAAGTTACAAAATTTTGGCAAATTCATACAGTATTCTCCTTAATACAATAAAATTCTTTTTTGTTGTTATTGGAGTCATGTATTACTTTAGTGATAATTTTTACTCCAAAAATGTCATCTAAGTACCAAGAGAAAATACTGTAATTTTTAATGGTGGTTTATAGCAGAGCAAATTATTTTATACAAATTAGTATGTCCTTTATTTTTTTTTCCTTTCATAATTGAGTTTTTTTTTTTTTTAGTTCTGAGGATTGGCACAGACAATTCAGCTTGCACACAATTCTTTTTTTTTTTTTTAATTTTTTTTTTTTTAAATGTTTTATTTATTTCTAGGAGACACAGCGTGAGCAGGGGAGGGTCAGAGAAAGAGGGAGTCACAGACTGAAACAGGCTCCAGGCTCTGAGCTGGCAGTCAGCACAGAGCCCGACGCGGGGCTCGAACCCACGAACCGCGAGATCATGACCTAAGCGAAAGTCGGACACTTAACCGACTAAGCCACCCAGGCGCCCCATCTTGCACACAATTCTTACTGGACATACCGAAAATCTAAACAAATCATGTAGTTGTGGTTCTTTTCTAAGTTATTCCAGTGACTGTCCAGCTTAAAATTTGGAGTCAAATTTCCCTTAACAGCATATCAAGTACCAATATCTTTAAATGTTGATATGCTCTTACACTGTTAATTAACTCCCATTAACTCACCATTCAATATCATATATACTACATACTCCAATGTTCAATCTTGCACAGCACATTCTCAAGGTTACTAGGAAACTGGACGAGGACGCCAAGATGTTAACAGAGTGCACAAATTCCGACAGGGAGAGCCAGGATCAAGGAGTGGTTTTCTTTAGAAAACAATTCTACCGAAAACAACAAGGGAATAGAAGTATTAAAAATGTTCCAGAAATATTAAATGCACGACTGACTCCAAATTGCCATTTAGTATGCTTGGTATTACAGGATATAAAAACTACCCCATCTGTGGAATGTTAAGCTGACACACAAGACGATCAAAGCCTCCCATATTCAATATCTCACTATTTTCTGGTTGTACCGAAAAGTAACTAGCAAATGATTTCACCTCTTAAAAAAAAAACATTTACACTTAAAAAATAGGATGAGGTGGGATTCCCTCCTTCTTAAAAATGTTTCTAGAGCTACTAAAAAACTTGCATTTACAAAATAGTTGATAAAAATATTCCTCTGGATTGTACAAGAAGGGACATGTGGACCCCTGAGAAGACATGGGATGTGGTATTAATCAGACTTGGCTTCTTTCCTGCTTTCTCAGAGGCCAGAGTCTCCCCGGTTTTAGTTTCTCTGTTTTCTGCAGGTAAGTCTTTTGTTTCTTGGTTTAGCCACTTCGGCCTGTTTTCCCTTAGCTCCCCTTTTCGCCTTTGTTTGTACTTATTTGTCTGAAGATTTATCTTTTCCCGCTGCCTTTTTTAGGCTTCACTTCCACTTTCGCAGGAGCGGATTTAGCTGACAACCTCGCCGACTTCCTCTGGGCTCCTCCTTCGCCGCCCTCTCGGCGGAGCTGACCCTCTTGGGCATCATGGCGGTGGGGCGGGCGCGTGCTGGGTGCCTGCAGGCCGCCGCGTGCCCAGAGCCTTCGCGAAGCTGGGCTGCCTGGCCACTGCCACTCCTCCCGCCGCCCGAGCTGCTGCGACCCGCAGGATCGGTGGGAGAACTGGATCAATATGTCCTTTAAAACTATGCAACTTATCCTTTTAAAGAGCATTCCTTCAGAAGCAGCTGGCTGGCTCAGTCAGAAGAGCATGCAACTCTTGTTCTCAGGTGTTGTGAGTTTGAGCCCCACACTGGGTGCAGAGATTACTTAAATACAAACAAAACCTTAAAAAAAAAAAGCATCTGACTTAAGCTCAGGTCATGATCTCATGACCTCATGATCTCATGTTCATAAGTTTGAGTCCCGCATTGGGCTCTCTGCTGTCAGTGTAGAGCCTCCTTTGGATCTTGTCTCCCAATCTCTCTGTCCTTCTGCTTATGCTCTGTCTCTCTCTCCCAAAAATAAACATGAGTGGATGAATAAAATAAAATAAATCAAGAGCATTCCTCACGCAAGCTCATTTATTTACCATAGTCGAGTAATTATATGTATTTAGGTGGCTCTGCTTTGTTCTGGAGTTGGTCTAAAGCCAGGTAGAGTTCCAATGTATTGCAAAGCTTTCAAATTCTAAAGGAGATTTAATAATGCCAATATGATTTTTAAGTCATTTTCAAAAGTTGTTAAAATTTAACATAAATACTGGAATTATCAAAATTGGTCATTTCAAACAATGCTGCTTTCAGATGATCCCTTTGATTTAGAAACCCTGTACCCCTTTGTTTTGATCATAACTCATATAGCTTTTCTTCAGCTTATTAAAAAACTGCCTAGACTCCACCAGAAGCCTACTAGAACTGATCCAAGAATTCAGCCAAGTTGCAGGATACAAAATCAACGTACAGAAATCGGTTGCATTTTTATACACCAAGAATGAAGCAACAGAGAAATCAAGAAACTGATCCTATTCACAACTGCACAAAAAACCATAAAATACCTAGGAATAAACCTAACCAAGGATACAAGATCTCTGTATGATGAAAACTATAGAAAACTTATGAAGGAAATTGAAGACAATACAAGAAATGGAAAAATATTCCATCCTCATGGATTGGAAGAATAAATATAGTTAAAATATCATTACTACCCACAGCAATCTACACATTCAATGCAAATCCAACCAAAATTGTACCAGCATACTTCTCAAAACTAGAACAAACTATCCTAAAATTTGTATGGAACCACAAAAAAACCTCAAATAGCCAAAGTAATACTAAAGAATAAAACCAATACGGGAGGCATCACCATCTCAGACTTTAGCCTCTACTACAAAGCTGTCATCATCAAGACAGTATGTTATTGGCACACAAACAGACACATAGACCAATGGAATAGAATTGAGAACTCAGATTTGGACTCAAAAGTATACAGCCAACCAATCTTTGACAAAGCGGGAAAGAGTATCCAATGGAAAAAAGACGGCCTCTTTAACAGATGGTGCTGGGAGAACTGGACAGCAACATGCAGAAGAATGAAACTAGATCATTTTCTCACACCATACACAAAAATAAAATGGATAAAGGACCTGAACGTGAGACAGGAAACCATCAAAACCCTAGAGGAGAAAGCAGGAAACAACCTCCTTGACCTCCACCGCAGAAATTTCTTACTTCACACATCCCCAAAAGGAAGAGAATCAAGAGCAAAAATAACTATTGGGACCTCATCAAGATTAAAAGCTGCATGGCAAAGGAAACAATCCATAAAACTAATAGGCAACCGATGAAATGGGAAAATATAGTCGCAAATGACATATCAGATAAAGGGTTGATATCCAAAATTTATAAGGAACTCACCAAACTTCACACCTGAAAAACAAACAATCCAGTGAAGAAATGGGCAGAAGATATGAACAGACACTTCTCCAAAGAGGACATCCAGATGGCCAACAGACACATGAAACGATGCTCAGCATCCCTCCTCATCAGGGAAATACAAATCAAAACCACACTGAGATACCACCTCACGCTGGTCAGAGTGGCTAAAATGAGCAAATCAGAGAACTCTAGATGCTGGTGAGTATGTGGAGAAACAGGCACCCTCCTACACTGTTGGTGGGAATGTAAACTGGTGCAGCCCCTCTGGAAAACAGTGTGGAGGTTCCTCAAAAAATTAACAATAGTACTCCCCTATGACCCAGCAATAGCACTGCTAGGAATTACCCAAGGGATACAGAAATGCTGATGCATAGGAGCACATGTACCCCAATGTTCATAGCAGCACTCTCAACAATATCCAAAACATGGAAAGAGCCTAAGTGTCCATCAACAGACGAATGGATCAAGAAGATGTGGTTTATGTATACCATGGAATACTACATGGCAATGAGAAAGAATGAAATCTGCCCATTTCTAGAAACATGGATGGACCTTGAAGGTGTTATGCTGAGCGAGAGAAGGACAAATACCGTATGTTTGCAGGTATAGGAGAATTAGGAGGAACTTAACGGAGGACCGTGGGGGAGAAGAAGGGGGGAAATAGTGGGGTAGAGGGAGGGAGGCAAACCATGAGAGACTCTTGAATGCTGAGAACAAACTGAGGACTGATGGGTGTGGGGGGAATGGGGGGTGATGGGCATGGAGGACATGGAGGTTGCTCATCATTGTTGGGATGAGCACTGGGTGTTGTTGGAAACCAACTTGACAATAAACTATAAAAAAAAAACTTTGCCTAAAATTTAGTTTTATTTTTTAAATAACATGAATATATTCCAGCTTGCAGAGACCTTGGTGAAGCAGGTGTCACATGCCAACTTTCCTTATCATTTCTCTTCAAATGCTGCTGCCATTGGTGTCCCTATTCTCCCTCTTGCCAAACCCCCCAATTCTTCAATCTCAGTACAGAATTTATGTACACCCATTCCATTGCTTCCAGACCTTTTTAGCGTTTGAAGATCCCATCCTTGCCATCAGTCCTTCAGTGTAACTGCCGCGACTGATTCCTTTCACAGTGACTATGGCTTCTTCAGTCAAAACAGTCGTTTTCTGGGTCCTGAGGATGTAGTTTGTATATGTCTCATCTACTGAAACCATATTTGTCAACAAAATGTTAATAGATTCAAGTCCCATTGTTTTCTCTGTAGGGTCAACTACAGAATGTTCTTACACATACATTTTAGTTCTTGCTTCACCAATAAGAGATTTCACAATGGAAGACAGTCCCCTCTGTGCTGAGAAGTCTATGGCTGTGCAACTTTCTAGAGGGATCTGGCTGTCCAGTACATCAGCTCCAACCGTGCTTGGGTTCATAGGGTTTGGTTGTAACGGTTTTTCCATGAGTGGTCAAAGACCTGCTCTGAAGTCCACATCTTTCTTTATGGTGCTGGCAGCCCACACGATGTCCAGGGGGTCCTGGAGGATGAGGCCCTGCCCTCCCCCCAGCCACCCCACCACTATTTGAACTTTTTTTAATGTTTGTTTATTTTTGAGAGGGAGGGAGTGGGT